TCGTGGTGATGAGTCTTGCTCGCTGGATGTATGGGATGCACGTTCTGGCCAGAAGAAGTGGGTCTTGGAGCATAAGGAGCCTGCCAAGGGTGTTCAATACTCTCCTTGTGGGAGATTCGCCACTTCGATTACTGATAATGAGGCATATCAATGGAACATGCAAACAAGGAAGGTCATCCATACTATTATAGCCAATCCCGCTTTTGACAATGATTTAAGCTATTCACCAAATGGTGAACAGATAGCCATTTGTTGTGTCGATAATAGAGTGCAACTTTGGGATGCTCGATCCGGACAACTGATCAACACATTATATGGCCACACTGATAGAATATGCCATATAGCATATTCACCTAACGGCCACCAGATTGCGTCGTTTAGCGATGATAAAACGATACGCCTGTGGGACACACAATCACAACAGTCTAGCCATGGTTCAGATGGGTATACAAAACCAGTCCTCCGAGTAAAGTTTTTACGGAACGGACAGCACATCGTATCCTGGAGCTCGGACGGTACAGTTCGTGTGTGGGATAGTCGAACAGGGCAATGTATTCATACTTTACAACAATTAATAAGTGACATCAAGTATTTACCTGATGGTCAGCTTGCCTATTGTAGCTATGGCGATGATCCATGCATTTATCTTTGGGATACTCAATCAGGCAAATCTATTCATGCTTTGAAGCTACTAAATTCGGGTGGCGGCATCTCCAACTTAGATATTTCACCCATTGACCATCAAATTGCCTGTGGTCACTTTAATGGAGATGTGAGTGTGTGGAACACACAAACAGGACAACTCATACGCACTCTACAAGGAAATGGCAATAGAGCGAAGCAATTGTTATTCTCACCTAATGGTCACCAAATTGCTTTATATGATCAAGGCGACAGGATCAGAGTCTGGACAACACATTCAGGGGATCTACTGTATGAGTTAGAGGGTTTGGATTTGACTGACTCGTTTGGCCAGAAATGTTGTGTTTATTCGCCTGACAGCCAGAAGATAGCATTCATCCAGGACAAAGAAAAGGTGCAGCTACGGTCTGCACATACAGGAGAGCTCTGCTTCGAAATAGATTTCAAAGAGGTTCAGAAAGTGATTGCGTTTTCACCATCCTGTCGACAGATGGTTGTTGGAAGTGATGAAGGGAAAATTAATGTGGTGGATACTGAATCAGGAGTCGTGCTACATGTGCTTGGAGACCACATTAGGGATATAAATGACATATCTTATTCTTGTGATGGCCAGTATATTGCCTCTGCCAGTCTTGATATGACTGTACGGCTGTGGGATGCAGAGTCAGCCAAGTGCCTAAATGCTATCCCATTGGTCGGGACATATGTTATAAGCCTTGACTGGAATGTTTCCGAAGAAGGATGTTTTTTAGCAATGGGATGTTTGGCCGGCTCTGTTCGAATGTGGCAGATCACCAAAGAGGAAGATGGCCAGTGCTATGCCAGCCTGAAGTGGAGCACGAAGCAAACAGGTCTATATGCGAACAATGCAAGGATTCAAGGTGTTTATGGCTTGAGTGAAATGAATAGAAAACTGCTGGATCAACATGGAGCTGTTGGCAATATAATACAGACCTCCCAAGGAGCAAGTCATGAGAAGGCGGAGAAAGCAACGTCAACCGAACTCAGAATACCGGAAAGCGATGGTTTGGATACGAGCTTTAAGAAGAATAGTTGCAGAACAAGATCATTGATGGCTAAAAGTGAAGCAGCCAAAGGACACCAGTTCATTTGCAGCAAGTGTAGTGCATGTAGCGAGTGCGAAGTTGCATATTTTATCCTAAATGGATCTTATGACAATACTGATCAGCATCATTAGGAGGAGATTGTCTGTGCTGAGATAATGAAGTTGGGCATCCAATTCCTCCATGTTTCATAAAGTTCATAAAGTCCAACTTTCAAGACGTGAGATATGGGCGTCTTTTTAGTTGTCAGGCCTTATCCAGCAATGCAAAGACCCCGCATCAAGTCCATTGTATTTACTCTAATAGCCTAGCTATAAGCGATAGAAAACAAAGGCAATTTTATCTTCATAAAGAATTATCAGGGAGTATCGTAGACAAGTTCAGCAAACATATCATTTGCATCGCTCAATTGATGGGGCTTCTGGAAGTTATACAAAAGGTTTCGCAAACGAATAAAGCGCATAAAAAGACCATGAGGAATGCGCTGAATAGGGCATTCAGTAAAAAAGTAAAAAGAAGAAAAATGTGTAGAAAATTAATTACTAAAAGGCTTGTCCTCTTTGAGAGAAGATGGGCTTAGTACTAAGCTGCTCATGTAATAGGTGCTACTACAAAATGGTTAGACGCTAGGCTGACGAAAATTCCTCAAAGATAACCGTTTAAAATTAACATGGAGACGCGTCTACTAATACATGGAGATGGGCAAAATGGAGGCAAATATGCCATGACAGACGATTGAGGAGTTTAAGAATGTTTGTTATCCAAGGCGTGGGTTTTATTCAATGCGTTGAAGGTTATCACAGTCTTCAGTCAAAGCGGTAAGTGGGGATGGTAGGGAATGCACGTGATGACTGGATTTCTGAAAGTAAAGGAATATCAATTGACTGTAGGTGAATCGTATCACAGCCTCTCTTTTTCCACGATTATTTTTAATTGTGAGTGCCTTTGGAGAAAATAATTTGGCGATCGACCCATGGAGGAAGGAGTCATACAGAGGCGCATCCATGCAATAAATCCTCAACGGAATCGATCCATCCAATATATACACTATATCACTATTATTCATTTACGACTCTCACATATCTCAGCATCCATATCACACGGTCAAAAAACCATCTACTATTTTCATCAGCTTTGCAATCGATTCATGCAGGATTCACCTTTTCGTCTAATTTGAGACAATGAATGCATTTTCTAAAGGAGATTGAAGGGAAAAAAAGATTAGAGTGGTTGATGCTGTTAATCACTACTGGAAAAGAAAGTATGACCTGGATGAGAGGGATCTAATTGTTTCTCTACCGGACAATAGTCAATTCTTAACAGCTCAGAGTGATGCTATTTGAGCCATTAAGAAGGAACAGGAGACAACGATGCATTCATGAACTTGAATAGCGATGAGAGACTTTATCAGGATTCAACTACTTTTTGTTATTCAGATCATGGAGAACCTTTGATTCCTTTTCCCTTTTCCCTTTTCCCTTTTAGCACTGGATTGTTCAATCTCGTTCCAGCTACTACTTACGACTCTGGACTAATGGATACAACTCGTTTATTATTATTATTATTTTTTTTTTCCTTAGAAAATGGGTCGTGTCATTCGTGCTCAGCGTAAGGGTCCTGGAGGAATCTTCAAGTCGCACACCCGCCTGCGCAAGGGTGCCGCCAAGTTGCGTTCCCTTGATTTCGCCGAGCGTACCGGTTACATTCGTGGAATTGTCAAGGAGGTTATCCATGACCCCGGTCGTGGCGCCCCCCTCGCCAAGGTCCAGTTCCGTGACCCCTACAGGTAAAAAAAAAAATATACCGAGCTTTACAAACAGCAAAAGCAAACAATCAAAAAGGAAAAAAGAAAAAAAAAAACCCTTCTACAGATACAGAAAAATGAACAGGACATGGACTATTTTGACAAGGGAATAATGATTGAAACGAATACCAAGGCTAAGAAGCAAATCTAATACGTATATATCATGGACAGAGCAGTTTGGACATGAGGATGGAGGCTACAGAAATAAGTAAAGAGTCCAACTGTCTGCATGTACTCAACGCTCTTTTCGCTATGCCACCATGGACACTCAACGCTTTTTTTATCAATGTTATTTTCTCGGTCCATTCAGTCGTATCGCCTCGGATAGAAAAAAAAAAAGCTACAGCATTGAATTGAGTAACCACTACTGTCGTAATTCTCAAAACAACTCCACCAGGAGAAATGGACGTCATTCCTGTGAAGCTGAGCTTCACCATCTTTTCACCCTCTCTCTTTCTCTTCAACTGTGAACCTTTTCTGATTTCATAATCTAATGCGTTTTTTGCAACACCTTTGATGTTTGGCTGTACCATCTGTTCATTTAGATACAAGATGCGCACTGAGACCTTCATTGCCACTGGTGAGTTAATGATCTATATATCTATATATATCTAGGCTCGTATATATTTAAAGGGCAATCCTGGTCTGTTTTTTTTTTAATAATATGTTGGATATTTAGGCATTACAAGAATTGACTTTGTTGTTTTCTTTTTGTGGCTGATTTAGAGGGAACTTACACTGGTCAGTTCATCTACTGCGGTAAGAAGGCTGCCTTGAACATTGGTAACGTTCTTCCTTTGGGCTCCATGCCCGAGGGTACCGTTGTCTGCAACGTCGAAGAGACCGTTGGTGACCGCGGTGCTCTTGCCCGTACCTCTGGTGGTTACGCCACTGTCATTGGCCACAACCCCGATGATGGCAAGACCCGTATCAAGCTCCCATCTGGTGCCAAGAAGGTCGTCTTCTCCAACGCCCGTGCCACCGTTGGTATCGTCGCTGGAGGTGGTCGTATTGACAAGCCTCTCTTGAAGGCCGGTCGTGCATTCCACAAGTTCCGTGTCAAGCGCAACTCTTGGCCCAAGACTCGTGGTGTTGCTATGAACCCGTATGTTTTTATCTCTGGATTTTTTTTATCTTTATATTTCCTTTTTATAATACTAAAAGAAATTAACAATCAACCCCACTTTTTCTTTTTTAAAATCCCATTTTTACAGCGTCGATCACCCTCACGGAGGAGGAAACCACCAGCACATTGGTCACGCCTCAACCATCGCCCGCGATGCTGTCCCCGGTCAGAAGGCTGGTCTCATTGCTGCCCGCCGTACTGGTTTGCTTCGCGGTTCCAAGAAGCTCAAGGAGTAAAGCAGCAGCAAATACAATTGGTTTTAATAAAATATATGACGCTGGAATTTGTTTTTTATATAAATTATATTTATATCTTTATTTTTTTCTTTTCATTTTTCATTTTTCATTTTTTTTTTTTTTTTTGTTGTTTGTCTTGTGTATGTATATATGTATGAATGGTTTGTTTGTACAAAGTATATAAAATGTAGGATTAGAACTAATAACTACCACTACGACTATTATATTAAACTCCATTACTGCTGCCGACTGCTTTGTCGAGAGTGAGTTAGAGCACCAGCTCGAGGTACACCAGAATTGATCGCTTGGAGAGCTTCCATACTAAGTTCCGAGTACAAATGTGACATGGGTCGATCTCGCCTATTACGTCTCAATCCAGATCGTAGACCACGGATTGCGTCGTCCAGGTGGCCGTCCCGAATGGCTGCCACAGACAAGCCTGTTCCCACAGCTTCTGAAGGTCGACGATTCTGGAATATTAAAAAAAGAAAAAGAAAAAGAAAAAGAAAAAGAAAAAGAAAAAGAAAAGGAAAAAGAAAAGGAAAAAGAAAAAGAAAAAGAAAAAGAAAAAGAAAAGAAAAAGAAAAAGAAAAAGAAAAAGAAAAAGAAAAAGAAAAAGAAAAAAAAAAGAAAAGGAAAAAGAAAAGGAAAAAGAAAAAGAAAAAGAAAAAGAAAAAGAAAAAGAAAAAGAAAAAAAAAAGACACATAGAATAAAGGTCAAATGTTAGGAAAAGGGCGCTCTACATTTTAGTCGGGTTGTTTTTCTTTTTTTTTTTCCTTTTTCTTCGGGATTATTACCTTGTTTGCAAGCTGTTGGCTCTTGTCCAGCCGCTTGGCTAGTGCCTCGTTCTCCAATTGTGATTTCTGAAGCATGGTTGAGAAAGAGACCAACATGCCGAAGAACTCCTCAGGTTTGGTGTTAACAGGATCCTCACCATAAAAGATTAAGAGTTGTTTAAGATCCTTCTCTAATCCTTGTCCAATCTCCAAGATCTTTTGAATACCCTCCTCATTAGCATCAACAAATTTCTAGTAAAGCATAAGACAGCAATGGTTATTCTCTTTGTTTGTAATCAATTGATCATGAGAAAGTAAGGAGGTTTTTTTTTTTTTTTTTTTTTTTTTTTCTCCTTCTCAGTAGTTACCTCCATGACTTCGATAAAATAGTCATTGGGTGGTGAGATTCTGATCTTGCGTAGGATGCGAACCTCCTCTCGAATCTGACCCATGCCCGCAACGAGGCTGTTGACAGAGTTTATGAGCGTCTGGACTGAGATTCGGGCAGCAGCCTCAAGATGAGGCACTTCATCCAAGAACTTGAGTAGGTTTGGATCTTTAGCATTAATGGATTTAGCCAGATAATGTAGGAGTGTACTTGATCCAGGCTTAACACCTTCCACACCTTTAGTGTCGCGAATCTAATTAAGATGTTGAACAGAAAAAAAGAAGAAAAGAAAAAAGAGTGCTTAGAAATAAATAAAAAAGTATTTCATAGTGTCAAGTCGAATAGGAAAGCATTGATTTTTGTTTTCTTTCTTTAGTACCTTTAGCAAGGCCTCCAGTTGGAATCCATATGCGTTTCCACGGAAGCTCGTCGCATTCAAATGATTACCCATCAACAGGACAGTCTATTGCATTTTTTTTTTTTTTTTTTTTTTTTTTGTCAAAGGCCCAATGTCAGGAGTCAGTCTTTTTTTTTTTTTTTTTTTTTTTTTTCAATATCAAAACTTTTTTTTTTTTTTTTTACCTTAAGAAGACTCTTTAGGCGCTTTGAGTTTTGCAGTTCGTCAATTGTCAGGCGGAGAACGTCCATTTCCTATCGACGTGTTGTATAAGACGGGTTTTAGTATATGTGTGGATATTATACCATGCCATGACAAATCCAGAACGAAGACAAGATATTACATACCGGTTTGAGCTCTCCAACTTCAATTTCTAATCTACGCCTGAAAATCATAGCAGTGACGCGTTCTGAGAGTCGAGGAATATCTATGATCTAAAATCAGATAACAAAATAATAATAATAATAATAATAATGGGTTAGTACAAATATATATATATCTATATTTCATTTTGACCAGCTTTCAATTTGTTCGTTTTCACTCTACCTCTTTGTAAAATTTTTCAGCATTTCCTAAACTTTCAAAGTCTCCGTCATAGTCCTTGATGAGTTCGATCTAGAAAAAAAAAAAGAGATAAATGTTGTTTAGTTTTTTTTTTTTTTTTTTTGCTATATTCCTTCAAGCAGTAAAAAAAAAAAAAAAAAACTTACTTCGTCACTGGTGGGAACGTATTGCTTGATGGCCTTGAGATTCTCAATACTCAGCTTGTCATCCAAAATCTCCATTAGTGCCACCCGGATTTCTGGATAGGTCAACTTGATTCTTGAAAGCATGATAGCTATACATTTTACATTCAATTATAATGAATGGAACGTGTTAAATAATAATAATTATCATAATAGTAATAATAGTAATAATAAAATCATTACAGAGATATTGGAAAATAATGTTGACATTGACTAAAGAGCAGAAACAATACAAGGAGGGCATCATTACCAATATTGTTCGCACGGTTGACGTTGAACAAGCTAACATTCTTCTTCTTCTCTACTGCCGCAGCTGGATCTATTGATAATAGGAGTGATATGGTAGTAACAAGGAGGGTAGCCGAATTTGTTTGTTAGGAAGATATCTAATTAACCGAAAGACAGAAAAGCTGAAAAAAAAAAAAAAAAAAAAAAGACACTTACTTGGAGCGACAGTTTGGTTCTTGCAGAAGAGCTCATCAATCTCAGCATAGTCCAGTTCAATGACTGCAAGATCCGAAGATGGGTCACAGATGTCCTTCCAAACTGTTTGCGTAATTGTTCCTGTAGGCAACTTGTTCCAGAAAAGTTGCTATCAAATATTATATGTATATAAAAAAAAATTGGAAAATGTTATAAAGTGTTCATGACTCGTAAATATACGGAGCATATGCACTAATTATTCTCCCTTTCATATGAAATTACCTTCATGGGGCGCGAAGGCTTGGCAACTTGTGGAACGGCCATGCCCAGTGGCTTCAAGGGATTGGATGGTCGATTTCCTGCCAAGAAGACTGGTAACGTTGGGATGGCGCCTTCCAACTGCGCTGCGCCATGCATGCCTGGTGGCGGTGGTGGCGGTGGTGGACACGGTGCCTTTCCTCCTGCCATGGGTGGTGGTGGTGGTGGAGGAGGAGGTGGTGATGATGCAATAGATCCTTGTGAGTCTGGTGCGGGCATAGTTGCCGAGCGCTTAAGGATTCCCTGTGAAAGGGTGGATGCTTGTGATGGAGCTGGCGAAGCATTAAGTGTAGGCGGCAAGCCGGTAGCGCTACTCGCTGCAAATGGCGGTGGAGGGGGTGGGGGAGGGGGTGGGGGAGGTGGAGGCGGGCATGAGCTAGGAACGCTCTGAAGAGCAGGGCTTGGAGGCTTTGTCTTCTCCAGGTTAGCGGGGTAAGCAGATGGCGGTGGTGGTGGTGGTGGTGGTGGGGGAGGAGGAGGTGGAGGAGGTGGAGCAAAGGAGTTAATTTTCATCGATTCGGGTGAGGCAATATTGGGAAGAGGCACTGTTGATTGCAGCTGTGATGGAGCAGGTGGTGGTGGTGGCGGCGGAGGTGGGGGTGGAGGTGGTACTGATGCACTAGGCGGCGCTGGTGATGGTGTTGGTGACGGTGCTGAAGCTTCCACAGGAGCTGGAACTGAAGTTGGGGTTAGATTCTCTGGTGTAGCGGTGGATGCATTAACTGCTGCAAACAGTTTATGTTTCGGGCCAGGGGGTGGAGGAGGTGGGGGCAATGCAGGTCGCCTGCCACCAGTACCAAGGATCCGTTTGCCAGGCTTGGGTGAGGTCAATGGAGAAAGGAGAGACCCTGCGGAGCTCCCTGGGCTGGCTACTCCCAAGTCATTGACATCAGCCACAGAAGATGCATCCTCTTGCTCCTCACTAAGTTCTTCACCTTGCCATCCTCTAGCCGAGAGAGCTTTGATTTGAAGCTTGAGTGCACTGCGCGAATTGGACCGCTCGACTCGACCATTCGTCATCTGATCTTGTCCAGAAGCGTTCTGGGGCTGTGAGCCACCGTCCTTTTCATCAGCTGTCTTTGCCGCCTCCAAATGGATCAGGCTCTCCTTTAAACCTTTGATTGTCCTTTCGCGATCAAGCACCTGTGCTTGAAGTTCTTGGACCTATTCAAGTATAAGCAAACATTAACATTTACTCTTTTCTTTTCTTTTCTTTTTTTATTTTTTTTTTTTATTTTTTTTATGGCCACAAAAGAGGGAAAAAAAAAAAGAAACAAACCTTTTGCATGACATCTTTGAGACTTCCTCGGAGAGAAAGAACTTCCTCTGTAGGTGTGAGGCCAACTGAAGACTCCTTTCGTAGTTTCTCTACTTCTTGCTTGAGTTCTATGAGTTCTTCATCCTTGCGTGCAAGAGCTTCGAATGTTTTTGACAACTGAATCGAGCCTTCAGTTTGGGTTGGCTGGTTTGTGTGATCATCCTCAGTAACTGCAGGCAAACGCTCGCCCATAGCGCTCTCATATCGTGTGCATACAATTTGAAGGGCACGTTTAAGATAAGCGATTTCCTTTTGGCGTTCATCTGCCAGACTAGCAACCTCTGCAGTCTATTTTTTTTTTTTTTTTTTTTTTTTTAAAAAAAAAAAGAGCTCCCTGTAAGTACAGGATCATAGTTTTACTTCAATCATGATTTAGGCTTGTAAGTGTCATCTTCAAGGAGATTCTTACTTTGTTCTTTTGGAGTTGGACTTCTGTCATCATTGCATTCCATCGAGTACTGTCAATCTCCTTGGATCGCTCTGATCTACGAGGCTCATCGTCCTAGAGATATTTAGGAATAGTATGAAATATAAATATAGGGGAGATATTTGGTCTGTCAGTCGATCAATGTCTTTTTTTTTTTTTTTTTTTGGTCTCTTCCTCTTCTTCTTTTTCTTTCTTTCTTTTCCCTAAAAAAAAAGAACTTGGTGCCCAACAACACTCACAGTGACAAGCTCGGCCTTGTCCTTGTACTTTTTCTCCATTCTTTCAATAGTCTCGCGAAGTTGGGTAACCTCCTTCTCCTTTTGAACCAACCTCTGAACAACACCAGCGTGGTTCTATCATTCAGAAAAGAAAAAAAAAATTTTCAAAATCAAAAAACGTGTACATACAACGAATGAGACAAACCGTTTGCGAACACCAGTCAAAGCGCCCAGAAAGTATGCCAGCCAATTCCCAGCAACAGAAGAAAGAGTGGCAGCACCACGACGGCTATGCCTGTACTTGTGTCTGTGTTTGTTTATATATCTGTACTGTGGATTGTATATTAACGTTGTTTTTACCTCTCGCTTGCCAAAGCCATAGGATACCAAGTGCTCATTTTCAGTGCCTTCCCTATTGCTTGAGGGTGGGCCTGATCTAGATTGCAATTGTTGCAGTTGTAACAGTTGGTGTTTGGCTTCTTCAGCTTCCTGTTTAGCCTCCATGAGCTCCTTACGCATTTTGTCTGCTTCCTCTCGCATCTCTTCCATATCACGTCTCAAGTTGTCGAGTTCAAAGTCAATGAAGCTATGTCGACGACTAGAAGCCATCGAAAGAGAGGCCGAAGACATGGATGTAGAGGATGAAGAAGAGGACGATGAGGACGAACTGCCGTTGAGAGGGTCTGAAAATGACAAGATGATGCCTCGTTTTCCGACGATGTGTTGAATTCCTTCCAGAAACTCATCATGACAGCTGGGCCAATCCTTTTCAATATCCCGCATCTGAAAGACTCGTTCGCCAAACTTTTCTACAATCGTCCATAGATCTTCTTTGAATTGACTATAATGGATATAAGCAAGCGGAGGATTTTTTTTTTTTTTTTTTTTTTTTTTGTTAGGAAGTGACAGATCCAAAAAAAGAAAAAACCATTAGTGTAGATAACAGCAAACTTACGGGCTCTGCCTTGAAATCGTATCGGTAGCTTCTTCTTCTTCCTCTTCTTCTTCTCCTTCTTGCTCCTCACTATCTGATTCCTCCTGTACTAAAGTTGATACAGCTGCATCAGCATACTGCTGTAATGTCTGGATAATACGCGGATAGAGCTCTTCGTCAGCTGGTCCGAGAGATGAGATAGTTTTGACCAGTTCTGAATTTGGGCTGTTTTGGAGGAAAGGAAAAAAAAATCGAGTAAGATCACTTGTTGCTGGTAGCTCTCATAAGGAGAGAGAGAAAAAAAAAGAAAAAAAAAAAAAAGGTACCCGTCCTGTCCGGCTTTAATCTGCGCCATCTCAAAAGCACGTTCCTGAAGATCAACCCAATCTTCATGCCGCTCATCTTCGTAGACATTAATCTGAATCAAGAGCGACTCTGGAGGCGACTGCATCTTCAATGTCTGGAAAACATCCTCCAGCCCACGTCTCCGCAGCTCATTCCTCAACGAGATACGGTCGTCCAGGCTTGCAGGCGAATTCGCAAGCGCATTCATCAGACTTAGACATGCGGTCTTGTACTCCCATTCAAATCCTTCGTCGTCAGAGTCATCAGAGATGGGCTCAGCTAATGTTTGAACTAGATATTCGAACCGGAAGCGCTCTTCGTGGGCAACTCGGAAATCAGAGAGGGCCATCAAAACTAGTCGGTGTGACTCTGGTGACATGACGCAGAGCGCTGCAAGGACCTCTGCGACCTTGGTCCTTAGCTTGCTGTTTGTCGTGTAGAGGCAATACGAAATATGGGCTACTAATGATGGAGATCTGAGCACTTGTGTGAATCCAGGCTAATAAGCACCAAGGAATAAATACAATGTTAGTTTCTTCCTTAGGTTAAAACTAAAGAAACCATTGCAACGTTTAAGTCATCGACAACTACTCTCCATACCTCTGTATTCATCAATACACGCAAACATTGGACACATTCTGACTGTAAGGTTTCATCTAGGTCGCTGGCTTTGCCTCCACGCTTCTTGATCGCAGTCTTATCCAAGACGTTCTCGAGAGCTCTAAACCCCCGACCATCTAAAAATTGTCTAATCCATGACAACTTGGCTGTGGCTAAAGCAATACGGAGGCTCAGCAGATGTTTCGCAAGGGCCTTTTGAGTTGTTGTTCTAGAAATGCAGGGGAATTAAATCACAGAGCCATTCAGTATTAATGGTTATTGAGTAGCATTCGTCAACAAAAAAAAAAAAAAAAAAAAAAAACGTATCGTTTTTACTCCTCAAGGACATACTTGCTCAAAAGCTGATCAATGTAGAATTGTGGCGAGTCATCTGTAGGCTCATCCGTCGAAGCCCCGTCTGGCTGTGGTGTGGTTGAACCAAACCAACTTGACCAAAGAGAACCTGCGGCAGCCATTGTTGGTGACATTGGGCGATCTGCGCCCGCTAGCTTGGATGAAGTTGACGTCGCTCCTGGGCCGCCTCCCATTGCTGCAAGGTCATCCGCAGTGCTGTCGTACGATCCTGCAAGGCTTGACCAGGATGAGTATCTTGAATGTAATTTTGCATTCGCAGAGCTGTCCGGCTCTATGAACGATACTCTTGAAGATATTGAGCCAATGAATCTGCTGTTTCTTGCGGCATTGCCTATTATTTTGCTGGCAACTCCACCGCCGCCCGATTGAGCGGTTGCGTATGGGTCTGGGGAGGTGACGCGTTCCTTTTGCTGTCGTGCTTGCTGGTTTTGAAGTATCAAAGCGGTTTTCTTTTCCCGAGTGAACTGCATCATGCTTTCGCGTAAGGTGTCCTTAATGTTAAGTTCAGTCTAATAGAAAAAGCCAAACAACCAACTAGGGGGATTAATATCAATCGCTTTTTTTTTTTTTTTTTTTTTTTTTTTTTTTAAAAAAAAAAAAAAAGGTACACAAAAGTTGAGACTTACGAGAAGCGATGCGAATGCCTCATCAAGTTCTTCGTCGGTCATGTCTTGGATCTCTGCTGCAGCGCTACTGTCTATTCCTATCGGCTTAGAAATCAGATTCGGTACGCTTTGTCCAACAACTATAGAGTGCCGTTTTTTGGTTTCCGGTGCGAGCCAACCTCCCAATGAAGTAGGATCAAAAAACGAGCTCAATCTGGAGCCAGCGATCATACTTTGTCGCCGCCTCTGTGTATCTTTGGCCTTGTCTGTGTTGTGATGATCTGTCATTATCTCTCCTCCAAAAGATGGATGATGAATCGAGGTCGTGGCAATGGGAATAGGCGCTGAAATCTCTCGTGTGCTTGCTGTTGTCGTGGGTTGTCCAGCGCTCCCGAATAGTCCATAGACTGCCATAGAGAGTGGACGGGCCGCAGTCCAACCCTTGGTAATACGAGAGGTGACAGACTCGACTCTGGAAAGCCATGAATCCGGCACTGTGAATAGAAAATGATAATCCTTGATCTGTCGATTCATAAGTAGTTCTCTGTTCTCCTGTAGTAGATCAAACGGTCTCTCATCATCGAGCAATTGCCTCTCTTCTAAAGTACAGTAAATTATTGGGAAGGGGAGTGAGAGAGACCATAATGGGTCTTTTCGTTAGATGGCGTCATCCAAATCCGACTTCCTTATTTTTTGGTTTGACATCACAAGTCGAATAGGGGGGGGAACATTGTGCCTTGAACGCTAAAAAAAGGGTTTGCAAAAAAAAAAAAAAAAGTTTGTGATGGACAGACAGAAATACTTGCCTTCAGTATCATCTTCGTTAACCTTGAGCTGTGAAAAAACATAATCAACTGGTTGCCGTGCATTGCTATTGGATGAGGCATCAAGGGCCTTCAGCCCCATCTCCGCAGTAACAATAGCCACGATCTGACGAACGGTCATTGAGGGTAAGACATGAATTTGGCGATAGTGGGCTTCTGGGACTGTTGGTACATGGCGGAAGATGACTGGTAAACTGTATTGAAGGTTGATAAGTTTGAACACTGAGGCGTCTGGACCACGTAATAACTCCTGATGCCGTTCCTGAACTTCTTTGATTTTTGTTTCTGGAGCAAGTGCGCCTGGAGATCAGAAAAATAAAAAATAAAAAACAAAAATACATGATATTAGGTGTATCCTGTAGTTGAACAAAAACTCTTACTCATCATTTATAACTATGTTGCAGCATTTCTGCTGAAAGTCACTCCTTTACCTTGATCGAGAGCAAATAGCTCATGATATGAAAGCGAGGCTAGATAGTGGGAGGTGACAGTAGTAATATCGAAGACAGATGAATACGATTTCTTTATTTACTTGTCATTAAGCAGCAAAGCAACATCAATGAAAAACAGCTACTACGAAAGAAAAAGACGATTCTGTGAGACTACTGACTTACTCTTTCGAGGCATAGCTACCTCTACAATAGCCCACTCCTCATTTGCATAGTCTGGGCTGTCTTCAGCCAATGCAGTCAGCAAATCTCTCACGGTTGCTTCCTCATCCAGAAATGTTGCCTGGACTGAGTGATCAGGTGTGAGAACCTGGATAATGTCCTGCTTCCCCATTTTCCTCTATATGTCTATTATTTATTGGGCCTTTCCGGGGCTCCTTCCTGTTTCTCTCCCCTGTCTTTGTAAGCGCCCTCTTTCCTTCCTCCTGAGGTTGGAAGCGTTGTCGATTTTTTTTTTCAGGTACTCCGATTTAAGGTTTGCGGGGTTTTTCCACGTTTGGGTGACGCGCGTATAATGAAATAATTGCGGAAATGTGAAGTGTTTAATGGAGAGGGAAGGAGAATGTGGATAAAAAAAAAAAAAGGTGAATGGAGAATGAAGAGATGAATGGGGAGGAATGGAAAGAAGAAGAGAAAGAGAACAGGCGTCCAGCAGGGTTTCTATTATGACAAATTACTCGCAGCAGGTGAAGTCATGTTCCGACTGACTGACCTCGTTTGCCCCTATTTTCTCCTTTTTTTTCTTTTTCATCAGTTTAAATCCCTGTCTCCCTTGCGTTTACAAGGCTATAATAAACAAACACAAAAAAAAAGAGAGCATGCGCATGGTCTGACCATGCTGTCATGTTGACCCTTGATGCCGTAGTGAGAATTCATATCCACATCTCTGCAGTCGATAGAGCCAGACGATAGTACCCTCCTGAGATAGGATGGCTGAAGGAATAGGTCAGCAGAGAAGGCAGTAAAATCGATTTTTTATTTATCTTATTTGGAATTAATGAATGCATGTCATTCTGCACATTGTCAGCGTGTTTGTTTTGTTCTCATGTCTTTATGTCTTTTACAAACAGAGAAACAAAGGTTTATTCACTGTCCATTCTTCTGCCTAAACTTTTTTTTTTATAACGACGTAATAAAAGTAAGAAGGGAAATGTTTTTTTTTTTTTTTTTTTTTGGGCGAAGCAGAAGTGTCAGGCCAAGGAAGGTTGTAATCATATCAAGTCGTTGGTATATAAATGTATATGCTATACTTTCTAAGTCTTTTTGTGCTTCTGGCTGGTCTGATATTTCTAATATAAGTATATAGGCATGTTCCATGTATATAAAACCATCAAGGCTGAAAGAACTTTTATGACTGAATAGTTTTCCGATATCTAAGGCACTCACAGGATGAGAAGCGAGATCCCAGTGATGAATACATTGAAACGCGAATTATCCATTTTACGCTGTGATTTCAGGATGTGTGATATTAATGAAATGAATAAAGTAAAATGATTGGCTGTGTGCTGTAAAGAGGAAGGAATCTCCTCTCTCTCTCCCATCTTTCTTCTTTCTTTCTTTACCTCTCTCTTTCCTTCTCTCTTTCTCTTTCTCCTTGCTCTCTTTCACTCACCACTCTTGTCTCTTTCCTTCTTTTCCACTTTACATTGATTCATCAAAGTAACCTCGTCTGCAGTCTACAATTCCAATTCCAATTCCAATTCCATTTCTTTCTTTTTGCTTCTATTTCTCTCCCCTGTCAAGGCTGGTTCACCTTTTCGAAGAAGCAATTCCTTATATAATTGATCAGAACAGGATCATTCGGTCCTACTCTAAACACATTCTGTTCACCATTACTCTTCTCCATCCACCAAAACCATGCTGATGAGCACAACTTCATTTCTTACTTCTCACATTCGTTCTTCTATTGCTGCGACTGTGCACTCTACCAATTCTATTCTCACCTCCCTCAAAACCAGTCTCGGTCTTAGTCTTGCTGCCCCAAAGGAATCCTCAAAGGAACAAAGAAAAGATGGCTCTGTCTACTACAGTAAAGAGGCCGTTGACAAGACCCAGGTTGCATTCCCCCACAATCAATATCCTTCTCTGCAACCCTGGAAGACCCTTGACCGCAGACTAAAGAATTATGGCTACGCCATTCCTGCACCCGTTGTGAGCCACTATACAGCGCCTCGTCATACTATCGTGTTATGTCATGGTACGGTTATTAGTTTGTCAAGTTCAGAATCTGTTTGTTCCTATTGATTCTCTGGTTCCACCTTCTCTCTCTTCTCTTCCTTTTCTCATGGGAAGGGAAAAAAAAAAAAAAAAAAAAGCGCGTCATATCCTTCATATCCTGTATTTTTGTGCGTGTGTTTCATTTGGATCGAATTAGAGACATATGCTTATGATTCTGAATGTACTTCAATTTATGTCATTATTTAGGCCTCTTTGGGTTTGACAAAATGGGGCCAGAAGCGTTGCCACAGCTGCAAATCCATTACTGGAAGGGCATTCAAAAGGCTCTTACCAAGCTTGGTGCTAATGTTGTCGTTGCCAGAGTGCCAAGGTATAACTTTTTTTTTTAAAAAAAAAAAAAAAAAAAAGATCACCAGACATTCGCGTTTAAACATTTTTGGGGTTCATATGTCATATGACCTTTACATGGACATGATTCACCTTGATCATTATTATTGGATGGGTCCTGTCTTACTCTTCTTGCTCTCAACTTTCTATATTGAGCATGCATGCATGCAAAAGATATGTAAAGGAGAACCATTCCTAAGAATTATTGTGGGGTCAATAAGAAAGCTTAAAAGGTCATATGCCTTTCTGCATGACCATCCAGGAAATTTGTTGGGCGAAGTTTTTTTTTTTTTAAAAAAAAAAACATGATTCTACTTCTAATCTTTATCTTTTTTATTTTTATTTTTACTTTATAAAAAACTAAAAACGTACAGGACTGGTTCAATCAAAGAGCGTGCAGAGGATCTTCACAAGTTCCTTTCCACAAACATGGAAGGCATGCCCATTAACTTTGTTGCCCATTCGATGGTAATTATCAACTTTTTTTTTTTTTTTTTCCCTCTTTATTTCGATATATCCTTTTTTTTATATTATTATGTTAATATAAATTTACTCAATGCTTTTCTTTTTCTTTCTGATCGGTAACCAGGGTGGGCTCGATTGTCGTTATTTGATCAGTCATATTCACAACAAGAACTATACGGTCCAGTCCCTGACCACACTATCAACACCCCACAGAGGTTCACCCGTGATGGACTGGTTCAGGGATAACGTTGGGGTCGGGCTCTTGCTTCAATCTGAAGAAGAAGCCATGCGTAAGCTTGGGGAGGCAGCAAAGATATCAAAGGAAGCAGCTCAGCAGGCGGCCCAGGAGGTTTCAGAGGCTCTGCATTCATATCTGGAGGATGCCGCAGGACGGGTCTTGTCATCTGGAGACCGAGCAGTCCCTCGTGTCAATTTTATCAGTCCCTTGTTGAACCGCTTGATCCCATTCTTGGATACACCAGCATATGCCAACTTGACGACAACCTATTGTAACGAGGTCTTCAACCCTAATACGCCTGATGATCCCCGTGTCTCCTATTTCTCTTATGGCGCCGCTGTTCCTCAGATCCCGTTATGGCAACCCCTGGGGTTTCCTTGGGAAGTGATCAAGGCTAAAGAAGGAGAAAACGATGGCTTGGTCTCGCTCAAGAGTGCAAAATGGGGGCAATATGTGGAAACTGTCGAGGCCGATCACTGGGACCTTAACAATCGCTGGCGATTGAAGATTGGATATAACCACAAATCTTTTGACGCAGTCGACCTCTATATGACTTTAGCGAATCGTTTGTACACCTATGGTTTTTAATCCAAGTATCAACAAAAAAAAAAAAAAAAAAAAAACTAGTATATATTTATACATAATAATATTTATTTCTTCCTTCATTTTATTATAAAGTCGATCTAATAAAACGTGTCTTTTTGTTCACCAAAGTCAGAATGCAATATCAAGGTGACAGAAAATGAATGCCTTTATGTCCATTACCATTATCCACCCTATGCTCAGCATCTCTCTTCATCATGGTATAAATGGATTATTTCTCGTAGAACACAAAATGATCGTGACATCCTCATGGAGCTGTGTCTTGATGCCGACTTTGCACTGTCTCGAATCCAGCGGTCGGAGAGGATAAGGCTTGCCACTTCAACTTCCAATGAGGACAAGGCATTATGCCAAGGTATCGCTTACGCCTATTATGACTTTGCTCGCTTATTCGAACGACTGGGTCATCCAAGCAATGTTGGAAGAAGCGACAAAAAAGCAGGAAAGTGGGGATATGTCCAAGGAAGCAACACTGTCCACCAAGAGTTGCCCCAATTCGGAAGTTCTACCAGAAATAGCAATAACAGCAACAACAACCAGGATAACAACGGCACTAGTCTTAACAGATTAAATAATACAATCATGGTATTAAAGGTCGCAGAAACATACAGTATCGCAAATAACCTTAAAGGAATATTCGATCATGATATCGGTGCCATGGATCTAATGTGGAGTGTGGATGACTATCAACGAGCACTCAAAATGATTCCTAGCCTAAGTGAGCTTGTGAAGAACCCATTCATACTGTCACTCTCGTTGGAAGTATTGCCGCGGATGATTGACCCGCATCAAGATGCTTCCAGAACACAGATCAAGCGCGTCACACTGTATGACAAGTTTGTAGAGTTGTGGCTCGAACGAGGCAAGAAGCGACTAAGCGAGATAATAATATCAGGAGATAAGAGGATGTTCCGGACATTGTGTGATGAAGGGTTTGCACAGAATGGGATCAGATACTTGACAGAGCTGGCTGTGGCAATCTACAGACACCAAGATGGCAATCCAGTAGTGGACTATTCTCCATCGAAGGACAAGGGTACATGGAAAGAGGAGTACTTTAGCAGAGAGAGTAGGAAGGATCTCCTTCGAGAAGCATCACCTCTAAACCGTACAGGCAGCCAGTATCGGTTTGTGCATCGGTCTATCCTGGAGTACTGTGTGGTGCGAGCGATGTTTGAGCCACAGAAAGAGAGGAGCGTGATTGTGAGTGATAGAGAAGCACCAGAAGCACCAACTTGGTGTCGAAGAGGGAGTACCAGCTCTGTGTACAGCTTTGAGGCAGAAGAAAGTAATATAGTCGAGAAAGATAATGCTAGGATGGACCCCGACGAAAGCTCACCCTTAATGTGGAAAAGTTTTGTAGAGGAGCCATCTATTCTTCAGTTCCTTGTGGACCGTATTCAGCTGGAAGTGAAGTTCAAACAGCAGTTGTACGAGTATGTAGAGCTGTCGAAGAGCGATAGCAAGTGGCGGATAGCAGCAGCCAATGCAATGACGATCCTTGTTCGAGCAAGAGAAACATTCAGTGGAGCAGACTTGAGAGGCATTCAGATCCCTGGAGCCGATCTTAGCCATGGTATATTCGATAGTACTCAACTACAAGGAGCAGATCTGAGGAAGACTAAGCTTCATGGCTGTTGGCTCCAGAAGGCAGACCTGAGTGAAGCCAAGATGTCAGGAGTACAGTTTGGAGAATGACCACTTCTTCGTGAAGGAGGATGGATATGGAAGGGATCATATTCACCTGATGGCAAGACATTAGTTGCAACTGTCCTCAATCCGCAAACCCTAGAGTCCTGGGTTAGCTTGTATGATACATTGACATGGGAGAAGTGTTTGACTTTGGAAGGCGGTGACAACTTTTGCTACTCTCCAGACAGTCAACATATAGCCGTTAAATATGGCGGTATGATTAACATATTTGATATAGCATCAGACGCAGTGATTCATACCTTGGAGAGTCATACAGACTATGTTAATACTGTAGTGTACTCGCCAAGCGGCGATCATCTCGTCACAGTTAGTTCTGATGGATCAGTGCATGTGTGGGATGTCAGGTCTGGTATACTCCAATACACATTAGAGGGGCACACTGGGGACGTGACATGCGTGGTGTATTCACCTGATGGAAAGCAGATTGCAAGTGGAGGCCAAGACAAGGCGGTACTATTATGGGATGTGGCATCAGGAGAACTGATACGGAAGCTCCAAGGCATTGAATCTAAGGTTAAGCAAATCCTGTATTCGCCTGACAGTCAGGAAATCATCATTCATGGTGAAAAGTCTTGCTCGCTGAGTGTATGGAATGCTTGGTCTGACCAGAAGAAGTGGGTCTTGGAGCATAAAGAGCCTGTCAAGAGTGTTCAATACTCTCCTTGTGGGGAATTCGCCACTTTGCTTACCAATAATGAGGCATATCAGTGGAACATGCAGACAAGGAAGGTCATCCATACTATTTTAGGCAATCCCGCTTTTGACAATGATTTAAGCTATTCACCAAATGGTGAACAGATAGCCATTTGTTGCCTTGACAATAGAGTGCAACTTTGGGATGCTCGCTCCGGACAACTGATCAACGTTATATGGCCACACTAAGGTTGTATTCCCTATAGCATATTCACCCAATGGCCATCAGATTGCGTCGTTTAGTAGAGATGGAACGATACACCTGTGGGACACACAGCCACAGCAGTCTAGCAATGGTTCATATGGGCATACGGGTTTTGTCTTCCGAGTAAAGTTTTTACGGAACGGACAGCACATCGTATCCTGGAGCTCGGACTGTACAGTTCGTGTGTGGGATAGTCGAACAGGGCAATGTATTCATACTCTACAACATTTAATAAGTGGCATCGAGTATTCACCTGATGGTCAGCTTGCCTATTGTAGCTATGACAATGATCTATGCGTTAACCTTTGGGATACTCAATCAGGCAAAGTTGTTCATACTTTGAAGCCACCAAATTGGGATGGCGGCATCTACCATTTAGATATTTCATCCATTGATCATCAAATTATCTGTGGCCACTCTAATGGAGATGTGGGTGTGTGGAACACACAAATAAGGCTACTCATACGCACTCTACAAGGAAATGGCAATAGTGTGAATCAAGTGTTATTCTCACCTAATGGTCACCAATTTGCTTTATATGATGAAGGCAAGAGGATCAGAGTCTGGACAACACATTCAGGGGATCTACTGTATGAGTTAGAAGGTTTGGATTTGACTGACTCGTTTGGCCAGAAATGTCGTGTTTATTCGCCTGACAGCCAGAAGATAGCATTCATCCAGGACAAAGAAAAGGTTCAGCTACGGTCTGCACATACAGGAGAGCTCTATTTCCAAATAGATTTCAAGAAGGTTCAGGAAGAGATTGTATTTTCACCATCCAGTCGACAGATGGTTGTTGGAAGTAAAGCAGGGACAATTAGTGTGGTGGATACTGAATCAAGGATCGTGTTACATATGCTTGAAGACCACATTGAGAGTATAAATGACATATCTTATTCTTGTGATGGCCAGTATATTGCCTCTGCCAGTCTTGATATGACTGTACGGCTGTGGGATGCAGAGTCAGCCAAGTGCCTAACTGTTATCCCATTGGTCGGAACACATGTTAGAACCCTTGACTGGAATGTTTCCGAAGAAGGATGCTTTCTAGCAACAGGGTGTTGGAGCGGCTCTGTTCGAATGTGGCAGATTACCAAAGAGGAGGATGGCCAGTGTTATGCCAGTCTAAAGTGGAGCACGAAGCAAACAGGTCTTCATGCTAGCAATGCAAGGATTCAAGATATTTCTGGTTTGAGCGAAACGAATAGAAAACTGTTGGAGCAACATGGGGCTGTTGGCAATATAACATAGTATTCGACCTTCCAAGGAGCAAGTCATGAGGATACAGTGAAATTGACGTCAACCGAACTGAAAATACCGGAAAGCGATGTTTTAGATGCGAACTCAAAGAGGGACAATTCCAGAGCAGGATCACTGTTCGCTAAGAGTGAAGGGACCGAAGGGCACCAATTCATTTGCAGCAAGTGTAGTACATGTAGCGAGTATGAAGTTGCACATTTTATCCTAAATGGGTCTTATGAAAATACTGACCAGTATCATAAGGAGGAGTTTGTCTATGCTGATTTACTGAAGTGAGCATCCAGTCTTTCATGGGGTACCCTTTTAGTTGTCAAGTCTTATTCAATAACGCGGAGGCCCTGCATCAAGTCCTTTGTATTTATTCTAATAGCCTAGCTATAAGGGATAGAAAACAATAGCAATTCTATCTTCGTACACAAGGCCAGCGAACATATTATTTCCATTGCTCAATTGATCGTACTTCTGAAAGTTGTAAAAAGAGGTTTCGCAAACGAATAAAGCACTTTTATGAGATTATCAACAGTCGCAAATGCACCTACAAAAGACCATACGGAATGTGCTGAATGGGAAGCATTCGATAAAAAGAAGAAAAATAAATAAGATATTAATCCTTAAAAGGCTTTTCCTCTCTTGCCCTTTGTACAGTAACACACAGCTGCTTGAATTATAACACAAGCTTTGTGTTAGAATCTGTATATTGTGAGTGGTATTCCTTTCTTCAGCACAGCATAAATGTTGTAGCGCGGATATACATGTACATATGCCTATATATAAAGCATGTAGACACGTTTGAAGTTTTTTTTTTTTTTTTTTTTTTTTTTTACAAGCGTATCCAATATCAGATCAAATAAAAGGCTTGAACGATGTGCAAAGGAATAGGAAGGATGGAGAGCCAATAAACAAAAAACAAAAAAAGAGGCTTTCTCCGCATTACACTGATGAACCTTTTTAGTCGTAACAGACACATCAAACTATGCATTTAATATTTAACAGGACGCTGGTTATGGCGCGTTGCATGGGGTGCCAGCCATACTAAAGTCTAAGACCTTTTGGTACTGCTGTTTGATCTCAATATTCCTTTGCCTCTTTCCTGCTTTCTTCTTCCCTAGCTCTCCTTCCT